AAACAAGCATGTGGAGGCAGAAGGAGGACTTGTCACTGCCATAAACTTAAGTACTGTTCTAATCTGGGAGTTACTGAAATAGCCACCTTTGGGAGGGGGGTCCAAAGAACAGCTGCGGAGGGGTACTAGGGAAGTTGTCATTTACAGCCTGATTAATACTTCTGGATAACCCTGATCAGCAGTTTCATGGCTGAGGACATGACCTTTCCAGGTGCAGCAATGTGCTTTCCTGTTGTGCACACCTTCGGCCCATGGGAGCTACATGGCTGATCCTACATTGATGGCGGAAAGAGCCAACATCAAAATATACAAGCTCCAGTCTGGAAGAAGTTAGGGGCATCAGCCGCTGCTAATAAATTACATTCCCCACTAAGGAATTCTGTACAACAATTCCCATCCATTTCTTCTGTGCGCTTGTAACACGGGATGCGAGATACTTTCTAGGCAAGAGAAAGTCCTGTGTAGATAGGTCCTGTGTTCTGTTAAAATGAACCTTAAAAGCAGCCTCTCACCTTTAGTCATATCTGGCAGTCACAAATAGATTTTGCACATTCTTGCTGAGGGAGGAAAGTTGTTTAGCCTCATTGTTCATAAGACTTGTCAAGAGATGATGGCAAAACTTAGAAACTATCCTAAGATATAGATGTCAGCTCCTCATCTTTCTGGGCATTCCCAGATTTTGAAATTGAAATGAAATCATCTGCACCATCCAGAGGAGCTGTACCTCTTTTTTTAATTGGCAGGGAAAAGAGCAAAGCTTTTTTTTATATAGTTGAAGTTACACTGGCTTCAAAAAAAGTCACTGGTTACCCAAGGATAAGTAATAAGAGTAGGACTTCTGAGCAGATTGTATTAGTCACAATGTGCTTTTCTTAAATCCCCATTTATAGTTCAAGCACCGGACTGACAGACAATGAAACAAAGCTTTCTCCAGTTTTTAACCTAGATGGAACAGCCAGAGGCTAAAATGACATTTTGTAGGTTCTGGCTGGTGAAAGCCTATCTGAAAATAAATATGTTAACCTTTATGTTGCCACAATTATTTTTTTCAGTATGCTAACATCACAGCTCCTGTGGAAATAAAGTTCTTGATAGAAATTTAGAGCATTTCAGATACATTTTTGGGAGCAAGGAAAGAGATGAGGAATATAAAAAGAAATTTAAAAGGCAGCGAAACATCACTGCTTTATGGGCTATATATATTACCCCATTTCATTCGCTAACACTAATGGAGCCCAGAAATTAATATTTTCTTTGCTGCAACAAAAAGCAAGATGTTGAGATTCTGAGAGCTGGTTCCCTTTTAAACTAAGCCCAGCCTACCCTCTCTTCTGGGATTCTGATATGTGTGTGATAAAAGGAGCTTCATCCTGTTTGTCACCGATTCATTGGAAGACACATGATCATTCATGTCCATAGAAATCTGAACGATGTGAAAGAGGAAATAAATATGTCTTCATTTTGTCTGAGCATCACTACTACAATTGTCCAACTATCTGTAATTTACTGAAGAAAAATGGCCCTATGTGAGAGGAGTACATCTTGGCAGAGAACAGGACAACTGTGATTCCACTTGTTAAAGTAATGCATTTAACATGGACAGGAGGCTGGAAGGCTGGAAAAAGAATTCATCTCCTCAAATATTTACCATCCCGATTTTGGACTGTGACTTTGTTTATGTTGTTATAGAGCTGGTGGCAAAAATTGGGCTCCATTTTCCATGAGAGCGTCAGCTTTTCAGTTGCTTATAAGATCGTAAAAAACATTTCTTTTGGGGAGTGCAATAGTCATGCTTTGCTTCATTTCAAAACAGAACAAAACATTCCAGGCCAAAATTAAGCCAGAAACAGCTCAACCTTTTCTGCTATAAAGTCATCATTATGTTTATGTGACGGTGCAACTCTGACATTTCCCATCTAAATGTTCCCCAGTTTGGGAACTTGGATTTTCCCCTGGTTATGCTATGTTCATTGTCCCTCCAGCTTTTTCTTCCTCTAAAGTTCAGATGATGACAATCATTCGAATCAAATAGGCCATCAGGTTTTCAGATAAGTGTGGCTTATGTTGATATAGATTTCACAAAATAAAATTAGATCATTATTGCTATGTGTGTATGTATCACAGTCATTGTTTCAGCATCTGTAACAGTGGAAGACATAGTATGAGTGGTACTGGTGGGAAAATCCAGGAAGTAAACTATTTGTTCAGAATGACAAAAAATAAATATTTATTGTGAGGGAGTGGGAAAAGAGCAAATATTTTTCTTTAAAAATTGAAAATGAAGATGTTAATCTGAGCAATTCTGCTGTAGTAAATAGAACGACTAAATGTGAAACAAACTTTAAAATATTTTGAAATATTTAAAATACCCATCCCTTTCCTGAAAGGTTTGGAATGTTGTCAACCTATGGCCCACATCCTGTGGTGGTTTTAAAGGGCTGAAATGTGTGCATCGGTCAGGATCTGAACTGTTTTACCAGTGCCAGCTAATGTGCTCTGATATGCTGAATTTAAGGACTGCCTGTAGGAATTCCCTGGAAAAGAGGGCCCATTTTTCAAGCAACACTTCCAGCATATCTTGCGATGTGCTAAAGCACTAAATTGAATGTATGACAGCGGTGAGCTGTCATACAGGTGTACACACTTGTTTTGTTAACATGGTGGTTTATCTGTGCCTGGTCCCTAGCTGTTACGGACACCAGTTTATTAATTTTAAGATCAAGAAGTAGTCAGCAGCAATCCATAATGATGACCAAATGTTTGCCCCGCAATTCCCAAAGTGAAAGACAACTAGCATGAAAACAGAACAATGCTGAGAAACTGAACAATGACCCCAAACTGATATGTTCTATTCAATATGTTCAGCAGTTAGAAACCTATGTCTTCTACTGTTGCATCTGCTATGTGCATTGTTTCCTCTTTTTAACTTATACGAGTCATACCTAATGAATCAAAGCTGCAAACAGTGAATCAAAGCTCTCTCTCTGTTGCTTATAGGCAGACCTTTGATATTTTTCTCATCTGGCGATATGAGACATGACACTGGTTATAATATATTTGCATATTTGTTTGCCAAGGCTGGGATCCAGCATTCAGAGAAACTAAAAGTGCAGGTGTTATCTTTGTCTCAAGGTCCACAGTGATGTCAGGGCAGTCTGATCTGGAAATGCCCCATAAAATTTGATGGAGGAAACCAAATGGATTTAGAGTGTGTTGTTTCCCTACAGTCAAAGAGGAGAATTACTTTATGCCCTAATCTCTTGATTTAGATTTTGAATAAAATGGATTTCTTCTACTGAAAGTTAAAGGAAATCTAAGTGTTCTCCCATGCAGCTGTTTTTTCATATCCCTTGACCTTCACTTGACTAAGAAAAGCAAGTGCAAGCAGTTTTTTTTAAAGAAAAAAATATCTGCAGAAGAGCAACATCTTTAAGTGCTCATCAGAAACATTCAGGGATGTCACAGGTTTTTATTCATATACCACATGTTGACTCTCCTCCTCATAAATCTAGGCTGCCTTTACCACAGAACTTTATGCTTTCTGCCAAACATCCAGTACTGAGACCAGGTGGAATGGGATTTCCCGCCACTAACACAAATAATTAAATGCCATTGATTCACCTGCTGGGGGCTGAAATCTCCCCGGAGGCCACAACATAGCCTCCAGGTCTTCCTGTTATGGAGCACAGAACATGCCTCTGTTTTAGTTCTCTTTCAAAGAACGCATTAGTTGTGAGTTTATCCACATATTTCACATGCATGTGGTTGGCTACTTCTGTTCTGTCTGGACCAACATCTCTAGTCTGCCTAAATTCTGTGAAGAATGGCATTCCTCTTGGCTGCTTTGGACAATTTCCACAAGGGAAAAAAATTTAAGAAGAGACTTACCGTATTTTTCGCTCCATAAGACGCACCTTTCCATAAGACGCACCGATTTTTAGGAGAAGAAAACAGGAAAATATAATCTGTTTTCTTCGCTCCATAAGATGCACAGACTTTTCACCCCCCTGTTTCTCTTGGCTGCTTTGGACAATTTCCACAAGGGAAAAAAATTAAGAAGAGACTTAAGTTTCCCTTCTCCTCAGTGCTGATGTTAGACTTTTCACCCCCCTGTTTTGTGGGAAAAAAGTGAGTCTTATGGTGCAAAAAATACAGTAAGTTTCCCTTCTCCTCAGTGCTGATGTCTGAGGTCAACATTATCAGGCATCGTATGAGGCCCATACTCAAAACTGACAGCCGTTTGTGCCCCACCAAATCTTTGCTATGCAGCCAACACTACCTGCTCATTCTCTGTGGGCAGTGGGAAAATGGGCCCAGCTGGAGAACATCTTGGGGTCCTCCTCAGCTCCACTGAAGAAAGGGAAGCAGTTCTGTTTCTTCCCTTTCCTCATTGGCCAGACAGATAGGTGCCCATATTCCTTGCTGCTCAGGCAAGGGGGCAACAGGCACAGCTACCGCTTGCTGCTACCAACCTCTTGCTTGACAAGGTATTGCAGCGATCACATCAGTGATAAGGAGTAGCTGCTACCACGGTATGGGTGCTGCCTGTCATGGACTTCAGCAGATACTTGCTCACTGAGGCAATGAATTGATCAGATTAATCCTAATGGTGGCTGTAATGGGAGCCACCTGCTGCTGCCTCTCTCTGTGTGGCAGATGAAGAGGGCAGAGAAACTGCTCAGGCTCTGAAATAAGCAATCCCCAAAAATACTATGTTCAGGGAAATATTGAGATGTCCAAGAGAAAGAATAGATCTGATGTCTTATGTCATCGTGATTATCCATCAATAAACAATTGCCTGTGCTTCCTTCCATTAATCTCTAATAAATCTGAATACAGTATATTCAGTCATGTTTCATTATTGATTTGCAAACTCATTATTGCTCATTTTAGTATACCTTGCCTTGGGCAATGTTCAGTTTTGAGAATCTCGCTAGGTAAAAAGTAGAAAAGTCTGTTTGTTGATGTTCAGAATTTAAGAATCTCCTTTTCCTTCACAGGCACCTGCATAATAACCAGATCCAAAGTCTGGGAATACATAGCTTTGAAGGACTTCATAGCCTTGAAACTCTGTGAGTTGCTTTCCTTTCTTTCTTTCTTTTTCCAGTTAATTCCAAAATATTGTGCAGAGTGAGGTAGTAATGAAATGGCCTGGCTCTAAATTTACTCTTTACAAGAAGGCCCAGGAAGCTGTGGAGATGCTTTAGCTCTCTGTAAGAGGAGGGCATTTTGAACCTGGACTTCATTTATATTATGAGCTATATTAGCTCATTCTCGGAGCACTTGCTGGGGCTCACACTTCACTTTGGTGGGCATACTGGTTAACTCTGGGAGAATGGGAAAATAAGCGGGACCACCCCAGGAGACTGATGGATCAAGATGATTTCCTGCAAGCCCTTGGTCAGTTTCCTCTCACCTTAGCAGGTGATTCTGTTGAAGCCGTGGTTGATCTCTTGAATGGGGAAATGGCCAGGGTTGTTGACATAATCACTCCTAAGTGTCCTCTCCTGTGAAGTAGAATCAAACTGCCCCCCTCCTTTACTGGGGAGCTAGTGGTGATGAAATGAGTAGGACAGAATCTAGAGCAATGATAACAAAAAACTCAGGGTGAATCTGACCAAACATGGGCTAGGGCCATTGGAAACCCTATTTCATGTCAGTGATGGCAGTGAAGAAGTCATTCTTCTCTGCCACCATTGCTTCTGCACAGAATTGTCTGGTGGAGTTGTTACATATGGTCAAGGGCCTATAGCATGCTCACCCGCAGATAGAGAACGCAGACTACCCTGTAACTCACTGTGAAGAATCTGCATGGCACTTTGCAGGTAGAATTGCTCAGATCTGCACTGACTTGGATGCTGTAGTTGGTACAGATTCTGTGGATGTACAGGAACTATGGTCCCTGCTTGTCCAGTGTTAATGGATAAATTTCAGTTTTTGCAGTCTGGTGATGTGGACAGGACCCTTGGAGAGATTGTACAGAATTTTGGGATTTGGTGTCACCAGTGTACAGATGACACCCAATTCTGTCTCTCCTTGCTATCTACGTAAATCTGAGGAAGCTGTTGCAATTCTAGATCAGCGTCTGGTGTCTGCAATGGAGTAGATGAGGGCAAATAAATTAAAACTTAATCCAGACAAGACAGAGGTGACCCTGCTTAGCCAAAATACAGATCAAGGGATAGGGATTCACCCTGGGCTGGATGAGGTAACAACAGGTGCACAGCTTGGGGGTGCTCCTGGGTTCACCTCTGAGTTTGAATGCTCATGTTTTGACAGTGGCCAGGGGTGCATTTGCAAAATTAAAACTAGTGTTAGGAGTGCATTTGCAAAATTAAAACTAGTGCTCCAGCTGTGCATGTTTCTAGAGAAGTCTGATGTGGTCACAGTGACACATGCCTTATTTACATCTCTGTTGGATTACTGTAAAGTGCTCTACATGGGGCTCCCTTTGGAAAGTGTTTGGAAATGCCAGTGAATCCAAAATGCCACAGCCAGATTGTTACCTTGGGGTTGGTTAAAGGGAACATATAACTCCCCTATTACAACAGCTCCACTGGCTGCTGATCCATTTCTGGGCACAATTCAGAGTGCTGGTTTTAACCTATAAAGCACGAAACGACTTCGGTCCAAGCTATCTAAAAGACAGAATCTTCCTTTATGAGCCTGCTCGGGTATTAAGGTCATCAGGAGAGGCCTTTCTCTCAGTCCCAATCTATTTTTTAAAAAAAACACCTTGGAAGGTGCTCATGAAATGCCCCTCAGTATTGGATTTTCCTGTTCTCTTTGGGCACACAAGGCAGCAGCAAAAAATACCTGCAAAAAGTGGGGTTTCCAGTCCTAGAATCCTTGGCAAGAAACAGAAGCTGTTTGCTTCATTCCTTCCAGGAAAAATGACCTTACCCTTGCTGGAAATGTCAGAAACTGAATCAGTTTCCTTGTGATGATTCCTTGGTGATTAAAAAAAAGACATTCCTCACGTGAACCCTGCTCCTCATCATTCCAACAGGGATGCTCATTTTTGTGAGTCCTTTTCCTCAAATCATCATGGCAATCTTAATGTGGCTAAAGATGAATAGTTTCACTGCAAACTGGGAAAGAACAGTACATCTAGTACATGGCTGCAGGAGCTGTGATTTCTCATCACACCAAATCATATTCAGTTAACAAATCTGATGAACAGAGGCAGTGAAAATTTACTAAAGCGCTGGAAGCACATATGAGTTCTGGCATGAAAGGAGTCATGCTGTTTCGGGCACAGACCTTTGTTTTCTGCCATTTTCTTATATACTAGCAACACTTCACCACAAGAAGGAAGTTTTAAAACTTAAATTTTGATCTAGCACAGAAGACATGGACTTGATTCATCTGTTAATACAACTATTATGATGGTACTATTTCCCTTTATGATAACCAAGACGTTCCAGATTAAAGAAAAACATTGTATCTATAAGGAAGATGACCCTACATAGGGAAGCCACATCATTTGCCATGCCCATGTGGTTCTTCAAACCATATTTTTATTTGAGAAGCGTGGAACAGAATCACATTTCACGGAAGTGCCTTTTGGGGCAATGAGACAATATATGAGTCAGGCAGGAGATCCTAGATCTCAGAACTGTACTGAACTATGAGAGCTTAAAAGCATGCTCCTCAAGCCTACACAAAAGACACTGCCTAATTACTGTGATGGAAACAGCTTTCTTTTTATAGGATGGGCTAATAAAAAAAGAAATAAACAAGGAGATAAATCAGCATTCCAGACATCAAACTAAGAGGCTGTTGCCCTCAGTTGTCCAGAGACCTTTCCATCTACCCCAAGAAAAACAGGCCTTGGCTTTAAGTACAGAATAAAACTGTCCAAAGAACAAGATGGACATAAGGGGGAAGATGACAGGAGAGGAGGGGGAAAGGGAGAAAGATACTCTGTTCCATCATTAAAATGTCATTCAAGGAGACATAGCTGCCACCAAAGTCTAAAATTCTGCCAAGATTGCCTTTTTTCTGTAGAAACTCTGAGCTAGGAATGAGAAAGAAGCAGTCTGAGGGATTGGGTTTTACAGACAATAGCACGTATAACATCTTCCATTTCCAAGGCCTCCATTCAAGGAGGTAAGGCATTTATAATGAATCCTGCAGACAGTAGTAACTACTACAATTACAATAAAACCAGCCTCTGGGAAGGTTAAGGCTTCTGTTTTGTACAGCAGAAAAAGTGATAAAGGCATTACACATATACGTAATTCACATGTAGGGCACTTGCATTCTCTGAAACGTTTTGGGAGACCTCAGGAACAGTCCTTCGATCACAGGGTACAATCTCATCAGGTGTCCATATGTATGGCCAGTGTTGGATGCTCAGTTCTTGGCCCGGCGGGAACAGGACCCAGCAGCAGCCCCAGGTCCCTGCATCCCTTTCTCGGTACAGTACTTTCCTGTACTGTAAAAGTTAAAAATTTCCCTGACCCCTGCTCTAACCGTTGGGGCAAAAAAGCTACAAAGAAGCAGCCTCTTCACCACCAACAGTTAGTATATTTGAATTTCCTGCCCCTTTTCCCTGCCTTTTTCTGTTCGTAAGTCAAAGCTCCGTTCGCAAGTCAAAGCAAAATTTTCCAAACAGAGCTGTTCATAACTCAAAATGTTCGTAGGTCAAGGCATTTGTAAGTCAAAGCACCAGTGTATGTAGGACAGGAAGAAGCAGTTCGAACTGGATATGGAACAACAGGTTGGTTCAAAATTGGGAAAGGAGTGCGACAAGGCTGTATATTGTCTCCCTGCTTATTTAACTTATATGCAGAATACATCATGCGAAAGGCCAGACTGGAGGAATCCCAAGCCAGAATTAAGATTGCCGGAAGAAATATCAACAACCTCCGATATGCAGATGATACCACTGTACCAGTGGTACCAGTTCTGTACCATCGAGTCAATTCTCACCTATGGTGACCCATAGTTTTCTAGTTAGAGAGTACTCAGAAGTGGTTTACTATTCCTTTCTTCTGGGGGCATCTTAGAGCTGTGCAAGTTGCCAAAGGCCACACAGACTGGCTTTTCTTCCTGGAGGCACAGCTGAGAATTGAAGTCCCACTGGATATCTAACTCACTGAGTTATCCAGCCAATAATCAAACCATTACCAGAGTCAGACTCTCTCATTACCTTCTTAATATCTTCATTTGTCAAGGGACCAATAGACACATTTAATCTTCCTGGGCTGAAAACCTGTACCCAATTATTCTTTGCAGAAAGCAAATGGTGTAACTTGCAGTGGCTGCTCACTGGCAATTAACAAGTTTGTGTTTGGATTTTCAGGGGTACGCCTGCCCACTAGTTTGGTGTGTGCCTGAAAAATCTAAGTGGTGATTCATTGGCTGAAATCCAGTAATAAGTCACAACTAGAATTAGCCCACTGATTTCTTGAGGAGCTGACTCATCAAATCCCCACTGTTTCAATGGGCCTACTTAATATGCAAATTACTGTGGGATTTTAGCCATTAACCATCAGCAAGGAGACATTGCAAGTTATGCAGTTTTGTCTTCTGTGTGAATAATTAAGGAACTGGATTTTGGCTAGGGCACATCCAGTGCTCTTAGTCTGGCATCTTCCAGATACGGCGGACTATCGCTCCCATCTCTGTTAGCCAGCATGATAATTGATGGGGGAAAGGGGAATGATGTGAAATGTAGTCCAATTGATCTGCTGCTGGGTTGGGAAAGGCCGGTTCCCAACCCATGTCTCAAAAAAAACACTCCAAAAGATGAACATGTGGTCTGGCACTGCTTTTTACCTAGAATGGATACATATTGTACATCTTAGTGGAGCCTGTCCCCCAGCAAGTCAGTAGCAAGCAGACGCTGGAACATAACAGCAGGGGTGAGCAGTTGGCTGATGGCCCAATCACAGCAAGGTCTCTTTCCCGGCAGCTTTTGCGCAACTAACTAACTGGAAAGGTATGTCTCCCTGTAGCAATCCCTGATCATGCAACCAAGTCATCTTCTCTCATGTAAGATAACAGGAAGAAAGAAGGAAACCTCCGCGTTCATTTTCTTTTGTGCGGTTTGGCATCCTTCCTT